CATTCATCAAAAGGACTATGGCTATCATGAGTCTAACTGCTCTTTAGATGCATCTTCTTCATAGTATGTTTCAAGAAATGACATTAGCAACGATAATTTGAAGAAAAGGCTTGACTTTGCACAGGAAGTTGCATGATATATGACCAGATAGACGCAGTGGCAAATAGATATGCAAATAAATACGCATATGGATCGAGTGTGAAAGTTAGAGAGAAAAAAAAGAGAGAGAAATGGTCAGTTTCTGTTGACTTTTTGGACGCAACAGACCAACAGACCAACAGAGAGTCGTTAAAGTGCTCGGCCTGAAGACGCAAATAGTGCACTGAACAGAGGATTAAAGTAGCGGACGAAACAAACCATTTGGACCGCTTGGAAATCCAAATTAATCAAGTCTCGAGTACACAGCCGGATAGGATATTCGTTCGGATAATGGGATTTTGTAGGAGGATAATGCCTAAGCAGAAAAGTAGTCTAACAAACATGTATACGTCAGTGCAACATCTTCAAGATGATCCATCTTTTCAATTGGTTCCAACCTCGAACAGCTTCAGAGGCGTCGGATGTGATAGGGCTGTTATTGTGTCTGCGTTCGCTGGGGAGTGGGCGCGGTGTCTGCCCGAGATAAATGCAACACCATCCGAAGTGTGTTGTCGACGTGTCCTACAATCTAGCCGACTTGTGCTGGCCTGAGTGACCCTCCAGTTCCAAGGGTTGCGATGACGTGTAAGACAACAGCCGATGAATCGTGGGAGGACAGAGTGTCAATCGCATTGTCCACTCGCGAATCAAAAGCATACGAGTGCCTGTTGAGTTGAATTCCATTTCGAGGGAAAGTGTGTGATAAAGCGATGGCTTAACTGAAACCTTTTGGTTGGCGTCGTCCTAGAGACAATCGTATTCGGTACTATAGTAGCAATCAGCTCTTCTGGCATCCGATCCATTACTGCATGAATTCCCACCCATATATGAAGTGTATTTACCCTATTTCGTTTAAGGTTACAAAGGAGTGATAGTTAAATTTTTACCACAATGATTGAATTTTGCATAGCCTTGCTTTCCCATATGGTATTCTCATCCAGAGTTGGCTGCCGCTTCGACCTCACCTAGGTGGTATCAACATTCCCAGCAGGATTCGAACCATGGCAGTGCGGCGTATAATCACGACACTTTAACCACTACTCCACATTGGCACGAGTGTTAGATGTGAAGTTCAAGAAAGGCCAGACATTTTCCCATATCACATTGTGTGATGGGATTATCGATGAAGCAAAGTTGTATTTGCTTAGTTTATAAGTAGGTTATAGATACTACCAGTAGATAATTTATATGCAAAGTGTATTCAACCTATTTTGTTTAAGGTGATAATGGAATTAGTTGTTGAATTTTTCCCATAATGATAAACGAAATATAATGAATACACTTCACACATAAATAATCTACTGGTAGTCTCGAAAACCTACTTATAAACGAAACACGAATTCCCGAATGTCTTTATGGCACCAAAATTAGAATCGTCATTAAGACGCATCGCGACTTTGGCGAAAGGAAGAGCCCCACTACGGTACGTTGTCTGTCCAACAACATGACAAAACCCATCAGAGTATTGTTCCATTTTTACGGCGTATTCGAGCTGACGAGGCAGGTGATTCTAAATTAGTGACTTAGTTGCAGTTTAATTGTTCTAAGGATTAGTCAGCCATGAATAGGTCTTAGGATGCCGGTGAAGTTCTCTGGCAGAGATATGAGGCGTCATTGAAAAAGGATAGGTACCATGCAACGGAGAGGCGTAATGCAGTCGTCTAAGTGACTATTGTTCACTAATTTCACTTGTTAATTTGAAGAGCGTTGGTGTGTGTCCAGTGCTGGCTCTACTCATTCATGATACAGGGAAAATGTTCGAGGACAAACTGCGTCCACGATCCGATGCTGGGAGGAGATAAAATAACAATAGCGGAAGTGCCGATGCGGGGTAATTTCCCGAAAGCCAGTAAATGTTGAGCCTGAACCATTTAAAGCTGAAATCCATGAGGGTACCTTCTGTCTCGAGACTGCGGCAAGTAACTTTAATAGAAGAATATGGTCGTATTCAGATGCTTGATAGTATCTACAAAGATAGTAATGAAAGCAGAAGAGAGGGAGAAAGCAGCCATATGTGCAGAAATCGGGTTGTGCGAAGTTTGGTATGTGCAGAAGAACGATGCTAAATATGCCCATTAAGAATGACTTCAAGAATATAAACTGTAACCGCCGAAGGCAACCCAGAATCCCAAATGTCTGCAGCACAATATAAGATTGAACGATGATAAAAACAGGTCTTAGTTCAAATAAACTAGGGCTGATTGTAAGCATTCAACAATCAGGATTCTCGTTTTGATAATAAAAGTGTCTAGAATAGGCACAAACCGAAATAAAGGAGAAACTCTGCATTTTAGGCTAGATGCTATTTGTCTCTTTAAGTAATAATGAAAAAAGTGCGCTAAATGATACGAGAGGAAAACCCATTCAGTGAGTGTAAAAGGAACAAGAAGACTGTTGGCTAGAATAGGATTTATACCAATAAAGATCAACACGAGCGTAATCAAAATCCAACCATAAGGATGATAAATTCACTCTATACGAACTCATTCAATACGGATTAATCCTATTCAGCAATCAGACGCCCTTGTGTCCTAAACACGAAAATGAGGCCTTGATCATAAGATGATTAAGTATAAATTGCCTGAAGCATTACTGAAAATATGAATAAGGGTAGCTCGTAAACTTTCTAACAACCACTTATTTTAATGAATGATTGCATTATAGTCAAAGTGCAGCAAATTATCAAGAACAAACCAGTGTCATCAAAGTATCATGCAGTACATGATGACAGACTTGATTGGGCATAATCATTTTACAAGAATAAGATAAAATGAGTTATGTATGTTTCAAAGATATTCATGATCATAATCAAAGCAAGATCTTTCAAGTCACACAGTAACGCTAAGCAATGTCAGTTATGCCCAGGGTCTTGGTATCGTCTTGCTTGATTGTGCGATTGTAAAAATTATCAATCTCATCCAAGTCTGATATTGAGGTGCATGCATTTTTATATGGATCCTGGGCAGTCATTTCACAGCATTGCATTTAAACTATGAATAAAAACTAATGTTAGAACACGTCAAAAAGCATTCGCATCCCTTTTAGACTAGATACTTAATTACTTAACAATACCTTGATACATTTTGAGCACGAGCCAAATGGTGGATTAGAAGAGATTTTTTAAAATCACATGACACTTCGAAAAATAATTTTTTTCTCATCCACAATCAAAAGTGTCGAATAGATAAGATCAGACGAGTAAAAACGACAGTAGCGATAAAGAACGACTGAGGATGAAAAGTTTACGCTTGAAGAGGCTTATCAAATTTGTTGTGAATAGGGGCTAACAAAAGGTGATTTTTGCCTTAAAATGCTCGAAAAAAGTTCTATGACTATATATATATATA